CATTCAGATACATGTGCCTTCCACAATGAAAAATGGATTTGCAATTTTCATTTTCTCTAACTATAAATATTTGTATACCACTTAATTTAAAGATTATACAGACAGATATGGTTTTCGATTAATATGCTGTATTTTACACCATTTCAATATGCTTGCCTTCTATAAAATGTATTTCAAGACTCCCTAAAAAAAAAAAAAGAGAAAATAGACACACTTTAAGCAGTTTACAGGAGACAGATCATTATCTCCTACAAAGGAAAGGAAACAGGAAAGCTGTAAATAATAAGTTCTGAATAGGAATGACATAAACAGCCTAATCAATGTCTTCCAGAACTGGCAAGTGACACCTCTTTGTTTTTTGCAAATAAAAACCTTCTTAACATCACAATATAAACCATTATCTCTGCAGGCAAGGTATATTTAGAAATGTACAAAATGTACATTTCCTGCCAGCCACTAGATCAGTAGGTGGAGATCTAAAGTCATGCAAATATTACAGTAAATGCAGGCAACCAATTTCTAATTATTCCATATCAGTAGATTTGTGAGGAATATAATTTATTAAAAAAGAACAGTTTATGATCAGCAGACCTTAGTTATGACTGTTTAGGAATTCAGTGCATTTTGATCTAATCACAAAATCAAAATATTCATGAAACACAATGATATCTCCCCAAAGCAGCCGGGCAGCCATTAATTTTGAAATTCGGGTAATTTATTAACACTTATCTGTAGCTGTAAAAGCTTACCTCTGTGTTTGTAATACGGGTAAAAGTGAAAGCAGTTTTAAAACTGATTCCTAATGATTTATAATGGTTTGCTGTAATTTGAGCCAGAAATTCAATTAAAATGTATGTCTAGTTTTGTTTCAAGATCTTTAGTTAAAAATTCTATTAAAATTCTATTTCCTTCTTGCATTAAATGTATCTGTTATCTGCATATATGAGAAATATAAGAAAATTCTATCATTTATGCCCCAGACTCCACAAATGCCTTTAAAAACATTCATTTTTTATTTCATAATTCTGCCAAGGTACTATTTAGAATTTATATACAGCAGAGGAGGAATAAGTGTGCGTGCTATTTTCTTTTGAAGAAAACCAGCCTCTCTACTGAGTGCTCATGCAAATATTCAAGTGACATTTATCAGTTCATCAAAGAAAGGAAAAACAAATAACACCAAATTATCGGATGTTTTAAATGCTTAATTACAATACCAAGGGTATAGCTTCTTCCTATATATGTTCCCATTATAAATCCCTCTTGTAAAGGATATGCAACTTCACTACCAAAATTTCCTTTTGAGATAACACTTCACATTGTTATTTATAAATAATGAGTAGCAAAACTGGCCATTCTCGTGTTTATTTATAGGGGAACAAAAAAAAGAGAACTTATTGCTGATGTTGTGGAATCTCTCTAGGGTAAACCAGAAGTGAAGGAGTGAATATTACTCACTTTCCCTCTGTGATCGTCTTATCTCAGAATACTTCAGTACATGTAAAGGTAAAGGACTGAGTTTATAGATGAGCACATCTGTTAATGTTAATGAGAGTGATGTGGCCAGTCCTAATTCTCTGTGTTGGGAACTGATCTTTTGTAATGCAGTTAATCAGTAGCTTCTAGATAAAGTGAAAAACATTCAGGCATCCAAAGAAATGTTCTCTTGTGCAATATACTTACCATTTTCAAATTTAGCTATTCAGCATTTGCCATACTGCAGTATAATTGACTAGGAGTAGTGGTGAATCAGGACCATACACCAGCAAAGTAAGGATGCAGTTCAGTAGACTGAGTGGCACTAGGAAAGCACTGAGAGCTTTCTTCTTCTGTTTGATCTGGTTCAGTAGCAGCTACTGATCCTATGAAAGTGAGTTTTACAGAACTTTGGGACACTTTATAGTCTCTGTGGGAAAGATAAAGTTGAGAGAAAGAAGGTGTAGATCCCTCAGTGTACGATAATTACTGCATTGGATTTACTGGAGAAATTATCCACTAAATTACTTCATTGGCTTTAAGACTCAAGTGCTTTTGACTAGAGAGTAAGGCATCTCTGCAAGTGAGGCGGTTCCAAAATGAAAGGATTTAATAGGAAGAAGGAATATATGCTCTGGGAGATATGGATTAACAGAGACAGAGAGGCAACTCACAGAAGGTAATTGCACAATGCAGGCTTTCACAAGAAGAGCAAAGGATTAACTTTTCTGTCTCCTGTTGATCAAGTGGCAAAGTTAAGGAGAAAGTATTCATGTGTTTTGTTTTACCCAGAAGCAGAAAAGAAAACAACAGCCAGTTGGCCCTGGCTAAAAAGAATAGATGGGCAGGGTTTCTTAGAATCTTCATTCCCTGGGTGATCTCACCAACACATGGAACATACCATTGTCACCTTTCTGTCCTTCCAGATCATTGCACTGACAATCAATGGTTTCTGCCAGATGAGATGAAGAAGACTCTCCATAAGGTGTGGCTTTACAGAGAAGGTATTTTGGACACAATCCAGTATGTCTGCCATTCTCTCCTGTGGAGGGCAGTGGTACTCTTAAATAGTAGTTCCAGGCTTTAATAGTGCAATTAATGATCTTGAGATGAAGCAGCAGTCGGCATGTTAACAGTATTATTGTGTACCAACTGAATGAGAGATACTGCAAGAAACAAGAAATGACACAAAGGATCATAGAGAGGTTAGAAATGTGGGCAAAGAATTAACAAAATTACTTTATCTTTCAGAAAAAATACATGATTTTCTAGTTGTTTCACACTTGAATTAACAGCTCACAACAGACAACAGAAAACAGACGACAACAGACTTAAGGAGTGGGTGAAACTTGGAGAAACCTGCTATACCAAGAGATATTTAGGGGTGAGAGAACAAGAGACCTTACAGTGAAAGAACAAGATATATCAGAGTGATAGCACCAGAGACCTTGTGGTTATAGGAGATGTAGGAGTGCTAGAAGAAAGCAAACTGGGTGATAAGTGAAATGCACACAGGCATATGGGCCTTAGGATAGAGAAAAGATTCTAGAAGCATTAAATGAAGAAATGTGTTCCTACAGCTAAGCACGTGTATTTCACTGCCTGTGGGTGAATTAAGCTTTTACTGCTTTACTGCATTCAGTCAAAATGCTAAGAAGTAATTTAGGGAGACTACTGGGAAGAAGAAATCCAAATGTGTGTAGTGTGAAGGAACTGCAAAGGAAATCTTGACTCTCAAACTTAAGGCAGTTAGAAAGTATTTACTAAGGACCTTGGCAGACCTACTAAAGGCATAAAAAATCAGCAAGGGTAAAATGCTTCTTTTATTGACATCTGGAGAGGAAATTTCTCCCTTACCTCCATTATTCTCTTAAGAGAATTTTCTGCATCCAGCTGGTGAAGGCACTGCTTTTTCTTCTGCTGGTGTCATCATCTTTTGGCTTGTCTTCCCACTTGGAACACCTTCATACTTGCTGCTCCCTGACACCAAATCCCATTGAAAGTAATAGGAGTATCTTCCTTCCATTTTGAGGCAGCTGACTGTTTGCTTTCTCCAGTTGGCAGAAGGACTGAGATTTTTCATCTGATTAAATATGATCTTTTTCTGCTATTTGATTGAAAGAGATTTTTAAAATACAAAAATGATATATGAAAAAGAGTGAATGAAAAATGTTATTTTAAAAATAGTGAATAAAAAAAAAACAAAGTTCTGATATTGATTCCCTGACAACTGCTGCTTGTACAATAATTTCAGAACTGAAAACATTTTTACAAATACTAGGGGATCATCTGAATACTTGCAAGAAATGAACACCGTATGATTGATCTGTTCATTTATCTGTTTTCCATTGTTCTTCGATTTCCATAAAAAATACAAAATGCCGTCAAGAAATGCTGAGAATTGTCCTTTAGGCTGAGTCAGATTCCTCTGAAAAAGGAGTATGTAACCACCATCTTTAATGGCATGCAGTAAATTTAACAGTTTAGCCCCTTTATATAACTAGCATCCTGCCTTCCAACTAGAAATGTGTTTCTACCTAGGATGTAATTATGAAGTGCAAGTACAAAATTTTTCATTAGCTTTTATATACCGAAAATTTTGTGAAGATCAGGAAACAGTCTGAATGCAAGAAAAGAGAAGGAGGAGACCCAAAGCCCATTTCTGCAGGTGCATAATCCCATCTAAGTAGGGTGTGTAATATCCTTCCCTTCACCAGCTCTTGGCTGCTTGTTCATAGTCTGTGTGCTGATTCAGAGACTGAACTAATCTTTTAAAAAAAATTATCACTGTTTTGTCATCATTCATGTCACTGCTCCCTTTACTCAGTCGCCATTGTGAATAGAGTACAAATGGGTGATTCTGGAGGAGACACAGACTGTAATTATGGCAGATCTGACTTGGAGAGTCTTACGCAGTGGCAGGGCTGCTTCTGCAGAAACACTGACAGCTTGGTATTGAGAAAATATCTCTGAAAGATCTCTGGGGAAAGGAACTAGCAAAATAGGGCTTGGAGATATAAACAAAAAAATACTACCTTACAATATTTCTTACAATGTTCGAGGAAATTTGACCTCATATCTTCTTGATAGATAACACCAAAAGTATTATCTATTATCAACTTCTTCCCCCTTCAGCAAAATTTATACGCCCGTGAACTGTGCTGATACATTATTTAGCACTTACAATTGTGCTGGGTGTTTCATATATGTAAAACAATTCCCTCTCCCTTTCTTTAGAGCATGTTCCCAAAGAGCTTGCAATGTCATCTCCCAGAGGCCTATGATGCAGCTCTATATCTCACTGACAGTGGGCCAATAGCAAATTCCACCTTATTTCCTGAGCCATCCCTCTGCCAACATGTTAGCACTTAACTCTGTCAGTGCCTGAAACCTGTGGGAAGTTGGAACTCTTCACCTGATTAAAGTAGGTTTTTAAGCCTCTGTTTGCATCAGTCTAATGCATTCAGCCTTCCTTGAAAAAATCAGACAGTACCTCACACATATGAAGAATAAAGAGCTCTCACCTTTGTACTATTTGATCCCTATTTCTCTCCACCTGATTTCAGTGGGATTTGGAGCAAACTATGAGGAAAGATAAAGGAGATAAGTGAATGTGCCTTTGATGCTTTCATAAATATAGTTTACATAGGAGAATAGAAGTCTAAAATATTTTTTAGGCTGTCCTTTGGATATCCACACCTCTGAAAGAATACTGCTGACTTCATCTCTGAATTACCCCATATTTTATAAGCATATATATTCTAGTCTCTCTTTACCAGCTGCAGTCACTCTTTTTTCCCCATAAAACAGGAGCGGGGCATCATATATCAGAAAACTCTATTGTTTCCTCGTAGAACTCTATCGCCTGTGATGTAATGGCATGCCCTTTTACACTGGAGAACATTTTGTATAGTATATTTCCTAATTACTTATGAATTTGCTGCTTTTATTGTTCTATGTCACAGCCTTAACATCCTTTCTAATGCACTTTTGTGTGCAAATTAGAATAGCAAGAGTTAAGAAGTAAGACTTTCTGTACATGGTGGCGGATGTTCAGAGCAATTCAGCATGTCAAGCTGGGGTCAAATGGAAAGGGAATGTCATTACTAAATGGTAACATTTTCTGTGGGTTTTAGAGAAATTCAAATCCTTTTTTAATCTAAATTTATTTTATCTTTTTTTTTCAGGGTTAAGGGTTGGACTTCGAGTTCCTGTCAGACATTTGTATATTAAAATGATTTTACATTTAATTATTTTCTAAACTAACTTTCAAAATAGTTATTCACAGAACTGCCATACCAGAATGCAATCTATTTCACAGGACCTTTTATCCTGACTCACATATATTTTGTATGATATACTTGCCTACTTGTAAGGCATAGATTCACATATCCTCTAATTATTTTTTTAAATTCCATGCCCAGGAAGTGTCTACTGTCATTCTGGAAAAATCTGGGACACAATTCTGTACCCAATATGTATACGCCTAAATGTTGTTTAAATGTCACTCATATACTCTGAGTATTTGAGTAATAAATTTAAGCCACAATCTATTACTTCAAAATTAGAACAATAAAAGGTAAGAGGAAGGGTTGCTATCTGTGACACTCATGACAGTGGTCAGCTGCCTTGTTTTTATTTTTCCCCATTCCTGTATTCAGTGTGCAGTTAAAATTCACATTTTCCTTTAATTCTGCAGTAATATTGGAATGAATTTGAGATGGAGTAATGTATTCAAAATCATAATGGTTTAGAAAATTACTTTCTATTTTTTAGCTATTACCACAAAGTCTTGTAATACGTTATCATGAAAACCAGAAAAGAAAGGACTAGGCATGACAGGTGTGCTGTAACTTGGTCATAACTGTACTAATGTGTGTGGGATTGTGTGGCAGTAGATTATCCCATATATCTTCCCTATTATTGCCAATTTTAGCTAGTCAAGGGCAACTATCAGCACCAAAACTCTTACTTCTATGCTACCCTTTCATTTTCCTGCCTACCCAATTTTCCTCTACTTCAGCCACATGCACCTTGCTAACCCATGACCAACAAATAGTGCTGAGGTTCTACAGGACCTACTAAAGAGTGTGTGACAACGAGAAAAAAGGGGTTTCTTTCTTGTAGTACAATATCTTGCATCATTACAGACCTTCCGGTTTTCTTCCCACCTTATCCCATTCTTGCTTTGAATTCTGATTTCTCAGCAAAGCAAGCCCCAGTGGAGTGCTTATTGACACCTAAGTCATAAAAAATGTGCTGGCCCAAGAAGCAAGGGGTGGGAGAGAGACCTGAACTGAAAAATAATCTTATCTATGGCACTTTGTAAGTAAGAATCTTCCTTAGCTCAATAGGATGCTCAGAACGAAGTCCTGAATGCAGGGTCCAACAGAAAACCTAAATAGGTTGAAAAGCCAGTGGCATATACACATGTATTCCCATGTGTACACAGACATTTATGAAGTTAAGTAAGGGTGCATTGCTCATGCAAGCTACTCTGAAATGTGTTTGAAGCTTTTTAGCTTCAAACTCTCCATTACTATCTGTAACTATTTTATTTTACAAAGCTTGCAATATTTAAGATGTATAGCAGCTTGGCCTTGTAAAAATAAATATATTAATCTGGTCGTTTCCCTGTGGGACTTATATTTTATTGATAGTTAGCATTTAATTTATCCATATTGTAGAAATTCCTTGTTCTCTTACCAGTAGAAAAAAAAGAACAAGTTCATGTTGCATGTTTAAAAATATGTTTAACAAATTAGGTTTTTTTGCTTGCTTTTGCATGTTACAATTGGAAAAATTTACCTTTTTTGGCATTCTGAGACAGTGACCAAATATAATCAACTGTTTTCAAAATAATTTTTCCACCACTGAAAGGATTTACCAAGTATCAACATTATTTTTAAAATCCTATGAAGGAACAAAGGGCCTTTTATTTCTCTCATTTTAATTACTGGCATTTAAGGAGTGCTTACTAGAAAGATAAATTCCCTGATAGGGGCTTTTTGGAGCCCAGGTGTTTCTTTTTGTATGCAGCCTGTGTTTCTGCACTTCGCATCAGTAGCCCAGATCTGTAGTGAGAAGTGCTGCTTTGATTTCCTGCAAGAACCCTACCTGATACTCAGACTCCAATACTGTGTACAGAGCTGAGATGTAGGCAAGAAAAGACATCAATTTAAAGTCATGAAGATGGCCACAGTGTCATTCTTTAGCTGAAAACTTCTAATGAAAAAGAAAACGTACTAATCTTCACAGCTGTAAACTCAGACTGACTCCACTTAAGTGCATTCAGATGTCCATTGCACTAATTCTGCAGTTCCCATTAATTGACACACTCTTCCCATTAATTGATTTCTGGAGTGTAAGTATCAAAGAGAACTCGAGAAATTAAACATTCACAAAGAAAATGAAAATTTAATTTTTCTATATTTATACAAATTATTAAATTCTTAATACATTCAAACTGAGGACTTATTCCTCTCCCTTGTTGGTGAATCTAGACACATGGAAGCTGACTCACTAACAGGAGACTTTGGGCCTAATTCAATAGTTCCTTTCTATGAAGGAAAAGTAAGTGTTTTCTTTTAATAGCACAACAGGGCACATTATGCAGGACCTTCTGAGCTTTTCAAATCCCACTGCTACACTGAAGTAGTGAAGCATCTCCCAAGGATCTGTGTGCTATGCATTGAGAATACTGCTGGTTTAAAGAAAAGGAAGTATCACCAGAAAATTTAAGTTCAGCTAGCTCAGAATCCTCCTGCTCTAGGTTGACTATGCGTGATACAGAAGGAGGAATGTGAGAGACTAAGGAAGGTCAGTTTTCATGATTTAATCAGTCTTCCTGTTATACTGTCTTCTCTCTAGCCACAGAGAGAAACAAGAAGGCAAGTCAGACAGTACTGCACTGAATCACTCTCTGACATTGCCTGTAACTATTTATTGACTGTAAATGAAGGGGGGACAAACTTTTTGCCTAAATTTCCTTAGGCTTACATGGACTTAAGATTCCTGTTGATTATGCCCACAAAAAATATGATCATCAGTATAAGCAATGATAGTTGGGGTACACAACTATCTGTATTGTGTTATTGGTATATAGGGCTTTATCCAGATTGTTCTTGAAAAACAAAAAGGATGGAAACCGCACAGCCTCTCATCAGGTACTGGCAGAATGCTCTTAGATCCCTGAAATTGTCCCTTCTCCAGGCTGGAGCAGCCCAGCTCCACCAGCCTCTACTTACGGGTCAAGTGCTCCAGCCTGTTCAGCTGGAGGTCCTAAGCTGAATTGGTCCAAATTTATTGGTGTCCTCCTCACAATGGGTTATCAAAACTGGATGTAGTGTTTCAGATGTCTCACTAAGCTTCACCTCTGCCTGTATGTTTTGAAAAGAAGTTCTTAGTGAATGTGTAATTGCTTCTCAGTGCATCATCTTCGACAAATATCTGTCTAATCCATAGTCTTTTTAGAGAAAGTAAAATGAATCATTTGATATTATGGACAAGTAGAAAGTCTTTTGTCTGAATTTAAATCTGGGAATAATTGTTCAAAATTAATTTCAAATTAAAAAAGGCTAAGTAAACACTATAGTTGTTACATCCTTTCCTTTTTTTTTTTATTAGTTCACCAACGGAACAGAATTGCTAGGAAACTGTAGAGGTAAGGAACTGGAAAATCTGCTCCACGTGGGTACATTAGAGAAATTACCTGTTCCTTTGCACAGGAAAGAATCTGCTTCGTTGGGAGGTTCAGTCCTCTGGTTTAATACTCTGTTTTGTATAGGCAGTTCTTTACACAGGGAAATCTGTGACACCTCTGAAATTCTTTTAGTGTTATTGTGATATTTTTTACTATTTCTATTATATATTACATTATTTTTGTAGAGAAAATAAAATACCAGCAGTCTATACTAGATGGAAGAAAAAGTTCTGTCTTCAGGAAGAATGCCTAAGAAACATTTTGGATCTGGTGGATTATTTTTGAGATATTCTATTAGTTATTTTTTTCTGCATTCTAGAAGTGTTTTTCATGTTTTGAGTAATTTGATTCTATAAGTCTATTGTCTTAGCTTTCTCTATAAAGTAGAGAAGTAATCCAGCATATACCACAAACAAATGTATGTTTCATTTTCCAGTAAAGATCATTAATTAAAAAAGAGATATTGAGGTTCTTCAATAATTGTTATATTTTATGTAAGTGTGCATCAATTCTCCCATGCCAGAATGCCATTGAAGTCCCAGATATATTTTCTAGAAAATTTCTAGTGGTTCTAATTTTTTTATCCTTTACACCAATAATTGCATTATGAGCATGAGTAACAGATTTAGTTATATCAAGTGCATCGAACATAAAGTACTCTATCCCTTTAGTTAAGGGTGCTGTATTCAGATCTCCATGAATGGAAATGACCCAACGCTTTATTTGATAAAAAAACTGTATTAGGAAGAGAAAATTGGACTTGAATTGCTTGAAATCTTGAAAGGATTTACAATAATATGAATCAGAAAGATCACCTATAAAATTAACACCACTTACCTTCCAATTCTTGAAATTTGAAGTACCGCAGAAGAGTGGTGAAAAAGTGCTTTGCCTCATGGATTCAGAATACAAGGTCTTCTCTTGAAGAAGAAAGATAGTCCTTCTTGGTTTACGTATTTTCCTGAGGCTAAGAGATGAACTCAGTTCTATGGCGCTAAATCTGGCCAAGATTTCTCCGAGTCATGTATTCCATTTACTGCAGTACCTATGGCCAAAATAGCCTCAGGGGGGAAATTCCTCCCTGCTGAAAGTTTTCTATCGGGAGTGCTGGATCCTTGACCACATTGATGTGCTGAGCATTAAAGTTATGAAGCTGGGGAAAAGTGAAGGGAGTAGGCATTGCTTGAAGCCCTCACTCCTCTGCACTGTTCTTTGCTGGTGATCAGTGAACTGGGCCTCATTTTTCTAGTGAACGACAGGTACAAATACAACCACAGCTATGTAGAAAGCTTAAAATACTTTCTGAAAAGAAATCTGCTGTCATTTCATATTCAAAAATGATGTGATTGAATGAATGCTTCATGCTCCACTAGCTTATACCTTTATATGAATGGCCCACTGCATAGAGCAGTCTGGAGGATGCATTTGTGAACTGGAATTTCTGAAGATTCAATTTCTGTTGGAGCATTTCATCACATACACATTTATTTTAAACTTGAAATAATGAGTTGACAGCTACGTTTTTTGAGCTTCTTTATACTGGGTTAGAGCAATTTTGGGCGCTCAGGTCCCTTCATGCGGAGTGAAAGTCCACCACCTGCTTGACAATGAGGGACCTTGTCCTATTCATTACTGTGTTAACATAACAGTGTTTCATGAATGGCTAAGTAGCTCTCTTTTTAACAGCTCTATAGCTATGGCGCTACGACACTGATTTCCCTAACATCCACCATTTAATGAAAAGCCACGATTAGCTCTTCTCCCCCCGCCCCCAGGTAGGTGTTACACCACCCCCTCCAGCGCCGGGCTGTCGTGCTGCCGCAGGGGTGAGCCCGCAAGGCAGTAGGAAAGCGACACTATTAGTCAGCTCTGTCTTGACTGACCTTAGAGACCAAGGCTGGAGTTAAAAGCAGGGTAGTTGTGTATAAAGCGAAGTGTTACAGACATGTTAATAGCTTCCTCTCCCCATCCACTGTATCAGTGGAGATGCCACGTTCTCTAGTGCTCCAGTCTTAACCTGCTGGCTTTTGACTTTGCTTTGTATGAAATGAAATCCCAAATTAGAGGTTAGTTTAAAGTTAATTCAGTGTCCTCACAGTAAGGGAAAGTTCAAACAGGTTTCAAGAAAGGCTACAACCGTGCTGTTGTTGAGAGAGGTGTTCTGGAGATAAGGAAGGAGTTGTGGAGTATAAATATATCCCATATTTGTGTTTGTGTGTGTGTATCGATATCTCTATGTGAATATATATCTAAATGGGACACCTATCCAGACCTACATACATAAACATTATTTACTAATATGCTGTATATGGTTATATGTGATATATATGTCTCCCTTTGATTTGTTCACTCTATATTTTTATTTCCTTTGTAAAGGCTGTGGCATCCCGTTTGCCCTGTCTTCCAACACAGACCGTAATGTAGCATGGAAGAAACCAAAAGGGACTTTTCCCTTTCTTTTTTAACTAATCCTCCTATCCAATAATGCTTAGTGTGAAAATCCATAGGTTAAATACTGCCAGAAAATCTTTAATGGTAGCAGGATTTCCTTCTTGTTTATTTACAGGCAGTTTAAATGAAGCATTGGGCACCTTGATTTTGAAGGGTGCTTGTCACTTAGCTTTGTTTGGAGATGCACACACATTGTGTGCTCTTCTGTTTCTTAGGCGAATGGAAGTAAAACTTAGGAAAAAGAACACTATTGGTCCTATTAAAAATTCCAGATTCTCTTCTTTTTATTCCTGAGGCTGGTTCTTGACTTATGCTGTCACTTAAGTTGTGTCCAGGTGTTGTCACAAAGAAAACTACATAACATGAATGAAAATTTTGCTAGGCAGTGAGTGCACTGAAAATGAAGTAGGATAGGTGCCTGTATTTTAGCGCTCCAAACCAGGCTATCACCGTGTTGACCAAGGTGAAGCAGTTCACCTACATCTGGAAGAAGAGTGAACCATCAGAAGAACTGGTAGTGGTTAGAGACTGGATTGCAAGTGTATATTTTTCCTTGCTTCTTTTACTCCTTCCTACAAAAATTATAAAGCTCATGACTATCAAGTGGTTCCTGAAAAAAGCCTGAAAATGTGATCTTGGTCACACTGCAGACTCAAAACCTAGAAAGTAAATGAAACAAACCTTGTAAAACACTATAAAGCCATATTTTAAAGCTGATTTCATGGTTTGGGGGCCTGACTCATGTGTTGAGTACTTGGTATCCCTGTGTGCTGATTTACCAAACCAGGGCTATTCTTCCACTGACATCCTTATGGGAGCAGTTCAGCTTTCATTGTCATTAACAAATTTCATGTGATAATGCAACCCCCCACACTTATGCATACTTACAGCAAAGCAGTACTTAGTTCACATCCTGGGTCCCAGCACCCTGACTTTGTTTATGCTTAGATATTTATCTGGACATAGGCAGAACAGTTGATAGACTATAAAGTTCAGATCCTGTAGTGAATTTCTTCTATTGATCAAACACCGCGATATTGGTCTCAGTTTATGTGGTGATTGCTATCAGCTACAAAATCACAGAATTTGATGGCTATCTAATTCACTCTAATGAGATATGAGGCTACCAATGCAGTGGGCATTGTCTTTTTGTTCATTTTAGCCACTTACTGGTTTACGGTTTGACAAGCAGTCATTTTTCTTGTAAGAAACAAAGTAGTTTAGTATTTCATATTTTCGAGAGAAATGTGTTTATTTCAGTTTTGTGAAGAGTAAATAGGACATCTTGCTCATTTTATCCATGTGTGTAAACTCACTTTATTATTTGAAGAACAAGTTTAGTAAAGATCTTTACTGGGGACATTTGAGCTCTTTAATTTCTGGAACACACAGTACAGTCCATAATGCAGTCATACAAATGACTGTCAAGAAGCAGTCTATAGATATATCCCACAATATCCTTTTGTGTGTCTGTGGAATCAATGCTTCATTGTCATGGGAATCAGAGATATATAGGGCTGGAAAGTATCTACAGACATTGGATAATTCATTCCCTATCCTCACTATACATAAAACAAACATGACATATCTCACTTGTTCTTAAAAACCTTCAGTGAAAAAAAATCTGCAATCTGCCTCAGTGAACTATTTCAACCCTTAACTGCCCTTTCAATTGGAAACCTTGTAACCAGAATCTCCTATGCTGCAAATTATATGGCTTTCTTCTCGTACAAATCCCACTCAGGCCCTAAGAATAATTGATCACTGCACTCTTCCTAACAAGCTCTATATATTTGAAGACATTATCATGCCTCCCTTCAGTCTTCCCTTTTCTAGACTAAACAAATCCAACTCCTTCAACCTTTCCTTGCAGGTCACATTTCCAAAGCTCTTATCATTCCCGTTGCTCTTCTCTGGATTCTCTCTAAATTGTCTGTATCTGTTCTGAAGTGTGGTGATCGAAATGGGAAACATTACTCCAGCTGAGATCTGAGCAATACCCAAGGAGAACAGAACATCAAGAATACCACCTCCAATAGCTTATACACAGCACTTCTGACTTCCACTTCAGCTCCAGACTTTTTTACAATAGTAAGACACAGTCTAGTTTATGGCCCACTATGTTTGTTTGTTTTACATTAATCTTGCTATTTGTTCTTCATTTAAAAATCTGCGCATATAACTTCTCTAAGTTTAGTATTCTGCAGGTATATTGACTACATTTCATGTTCACTTGTTAATGCTTTCTCCAGGACTTGAGCAGTGGTTTGTATTCTGACTGAACTGCCAAAATGCTTTGCAGTTCTTGTTCAGTGTCACTTTGGAAAAATGTCATGTATAAAAAATGCAACTGCGTCCTCCATCCCACCACTGAGGTTGGAGGAAACCATGCTAGAACAGAGGCACCAATAGGGACTCCTCCATGATTTTGTTTGAAATACCCTCCAGTTTGACAGAGAATCTGTACTAATTATTATGTTGGGTGCTGTTTTCCAACAACTTAGTCACACATTTTTCACTGAATCCTCCAGACCACATTTCTCTTGCTTATAAGAACAGTGTGCAGAGCTGTGTTGAAAGACCTGCTGAAGTCAGGATTTATCAAATCTCCTGCCTTCTGTTAGGCTGTTATCCAGTCATCCTGTCAAAGAAAGAAATTAGATTGATGTGATCTGTTATTGACAAATCTATGCTGGCTGTTTCTTTTCACCTTCTTATCTTTTTGGTGCTTTCATCTGGATTCTTTAATAATTTGTTGGTGTGTCTTTCTGGCTGTCTTTAACTAGACTATAATTCCAAGCTCTTCTGCTTCTGCTTTTTTTAAAAAGAACTACTATATTTGCCATTCTCAGTCCTCTGTAACCTCTCTTATAATTGATAAAATTTTAGACACAATCGCTGATGGTGCAGAAATTACTTCATGTAGATCTTTACAGCCTGGTGACTGAATACTATTTGGCACTATAAACTTGAGTACATGTAACTTATGTACACAATAGTTCTTTAACCTGATTTAATTAAGATTTTATTGGATTTATTCTCAATATATTGCTATACTACCATATGAATAAGGCATTTTCATGAAAGAAGCATTGTTTTTATGGAGTTTATTTTCTGCCATGTTGAAGTATATGTTTGAGAAAATATCTAAAATCTGCTTACATTTTTAAAAGGCCATATGGTACAAGAACTAGTTTAGAAAACCTTTGGCTCCCAGAAGTATGTCCATGCTCAAGTGACAGTAGTGCTCTAAAACTAGTCAAAAGAAATAGGATGGGGAAACTAAAAAGAGGAAAGTAATGGAATTGCTGAACTGCGAGGCTGAAAGACACTTCAGGAGATTGTGCAGTATAACTACTTTCAAAGAATGAAGGTCACTGGGGACTAGACAAGTACCAGCTGATAGTTCATATTCAGCTCTTAAAACCTCTAGTTATGTGGTTTCCATCAAAACCCAGTATTTCACAAC